CCATTTCATCAGATTTGTAAGGTAAATCATTTATAAATCTACGCAAACACAGGAAAATACATTGCGGTTTCAAAATAAAAGCTCAAACCCTCACTCTGAGTTTACGCGTTTTGATGTACACATATTCTTTTAATTACAGTGGCTATAGCATTTCTGTCCTAAATAAATGGCCAACTATTAAAGATTAAGTGGACATTTGTATTAAATGGTGCTTGGTCAATATTAAACAAGTATTAGATCACACAGTAATGTGTAAAAATAGTCATTAGGCCATCGGCGCCCTCTGCAGGCCTTTGTTGTAATGCGTAATGTACATTAGCTCTATTGTTTATAAAACATTATGTATTTTAAAAGTTTTGTTCAATAAAATTATATGATTTCTTTCATTTCATACTTTATTTCTATTTCTACTCATTGCTATTATATATGTATTTTAAGTAATTTTAAAGGCTTTTAAATTTGTTCACGTACATCTATCTTTATTACCACAAAAAAATTAATTATAATTATAGGGCCCTATGAAATCCATTTTATTTCCAAATTCAGATTTTTTTTTCCATTTTAATTTTTCTATACTCAGTTTTAATGGTTAAATTAAATGTTATTAATCAAAAAGCTTGTCTAATCAATTTAGTTTAGTTTTATCTTTACCAAATTCTGTTTTCCATTATTTTCTGGATTCCATTTGAATGGTTCCATTAAATTTTAATAATCAAAAGCATCTCCAATTAATTGATTTTATGTATTATTATTTTTAATATAATATATTATTATTATATATAATAATATTATTATTATTATTTCTATTTTTTTTTTTCAGAAATACTGCACATTTACATTTTTCTCCTTAATAAATTCTGGTAAATAACATTTCTGGTAAATACTCCTTTAAAAAGTGTTTTTATATTATTATAATTGTATTATTAGTAGACTAGAACACGTGGATATGTTGTCATTCTTACACTATAATACTGAACTTTGATTTCAGTGATTTGGACTATGAGATGGATGCACTTTACGTTTGCTTTAAAAAGAGGATTTCATAGAAATTTTTATTTCATTTGGTTTAATAAAATATAGTTGAATAAAATATTCTTAAGAAAAATTGTTGATTTTTTTTGTGTGGGAAATTAATCGTTTAGATGAATCGATTAATCGATAAATTAGTCGATAGATTAATTGAAATAAAAATAGTCGTTAGTGGCAGCCCTAAATTAAAGCATCTGCACTGCACTAATTTAAATAAATAAATGTGTAAAAAATACATACACAAATTCTATTGACTATTCCTTCAATATATTGTTTTCCAATGCAGTTGTTTAGACCACCATGCCATTATTTATTTATTTTTGTTAATATTCCAAATTAGATTTTTTTTCCTGCTTTCATGTTAATGTTAGTTAAAGTTTTAGTAATTCTTGTTTATTTATTATTTTTGTCATTTTAGTATTTTTGTAGTTTTTAAATATGTCTATATCGTTGCTTTTTAGTTATTTATTTATTTATTTTTTCACTAGTTATGTTAGTACATCAAGTTAAACTAAACAAACAGGAGAAATGTTGCATAATTTTATATTTGATTTTATTTCATAATGTTTTTATTGTTTTTATTTTAGTTTAATTTAACTGTAATAAACCATGCCACTGCTGGCATTTTGAGAGTTAATCTAACTGAAGAGTGTTGAGATCCAAGCAACATTAGACCAAACTATTAAAAAATAAATAAAATAAAATAAAAATGAATGGAAGTGAGTAAATTATTATTATAATTAATATTTATTTTTTTTATTATCGAGTATCCTCAAGTTTCTACACTGCAACTGCAGTTAGTAAAGAAGGTTTGATATACAGGAATAC